GGGGGGTTCTGGAGTATGGTGATTAATTAGGTGGGATTTCTTTCTAGGTTGATGATACAGCTGTTGTACATATGAATAGAGGAGAGGGTTGCTATGCCGCCCGCCTAATGATGAAATTGGTATGCCCCGGCATCCAAACGCCGTTTCCGTTGCGCCACTCGCCCGAAATATGAACAAAAAACGCCTTGCTGTGAAGCAATCTTCACGCAGCGACAAAGACGCAGCCTACTGCTTGCCCTTGTCGAGACCCTCAAATGCAGGACTAGGACTGTCTCCCTGCCTCCGCATCCCACCAAGGAGCCAATCCGTCAGCCCGACGACCTTGGCACCGACGCCCTTTTCCCAATCCCCACCTTCTTGCACCGTTTCAATGGTATGGCTTACTATCCTGCCCTCGGCGTCAAACTGGAACACGAAAAGCCCCGTAAACGCCTTGTCTCCGCCGTCCTCCGTCTTCACGCCGCCTTGTTCCGACGTCGCCGTTGCCCCAGACGAAGGAGATCCCGCCGTGGCTCCACCATTCTTCTTGTCAGTAGCGCACCACCTAACAACCAGCTGCTCCGGCACCGCGCCGGGGTGCAAAGGCGCAAAGTGGAGGGGCTGCTTCGTCACACGCTCCGAGATGATGGACAGGCGGACGTTCCCGACCAGCGGCAGGCGGTTCCAGGCGATGGGCGAGGTCCAGAGGGCAGCGGTGTAGGCGACGCGGCCGGAGACGGTCGGGAGATGCGGGTGCGTCGTCGGGAAGAGGTGGAGAGAGATGTTGGGGGCGAGAATCTCCTGCGGGAGCGGGGACTGGAGGACCCGGGGTAGGTGGTCTTGGAGGATGCGCAGAGCTGTTCATTCGGATGCTGCTGTTAGTCCTGATTGTACCAGACGATTTGAAAGGTTCGTTCATGTAGATTAGAAAGACGTACTCTTTCCTAATGTGGCCTTGTTCTCGTCGCCTGGTTTCTTGCCGGGGCTGCCGCCGGTGGAGAGGGTTGTGTTGGAGGGGTTGAAGTAGCGGTTCTGCGGCTCGACGGGCTTCGTTCTTGCATGCGCCAGGACGGACGGGAAAGGAGGGAGTATCGGCTTTGTCGTCATCGTTGAGGCTGTCGCGGCCACTGCGGCGGCGGCAGCTACTGTTGCGGCGGGAAGCGCGTTCGTCGTGCTCGCGGAAGTATTCACGGCGGCGGCACTGGGCCACAGCTGTGAAGTCAGCGGCGACGTGGCAGCGGCCCGCGCGCTGGGGGAGGTAGCGAGGCGCAAGGTGGCCATGGATACTGCAGAGGGGCAATCATAAATTGGTGGAGAATGCGCGAGGAAGACAAAGCTTCGTGTGGTCGGATGTAGTGGGAAAGACTAAACCACGAAGATGACGGGTGGAAAAGATGATGTCAGGAACCAGCGGGCTGCAGGCAAGAAGACGGATCAAAATTCGCAGGGGTGAAGCTCTAGCTTCGGAATTCCTATCGTTCAGGTACCTCCAGCCTAGGGTAACCGGTAGTGCGGAGAAGGATCCGCCCGCCCGGATATAGCCCCACTTTGATACCGGGCCGGAGGGGACGCTGGACTGTCTTTGAAAACCTTACCTAATGTAAGGTACCTACCTACCTACCTACCTACCTACCTTAGTTACAGAGTGCCTCAATCGAGAATGTACAGGGCTCTATAAGTACCTAGTGTGTTCTGTGCAGAAAATATGTCCAATTGCTTGTGGAATCTGGATTGATATCAACATTCCTCGTGTGCTATATATGCTTTTTAGAACCTGCGCCGTCCTTGTCAAAACTCCAATATTCCGGGCCTCGCGTGATGCACTCCAGGTACCGTACATGTCGCGCCATCTCATCATCTCGGATGAGGGAACTCGTCCGCGAGCTGCAACCTCACGCCAACATTCATACTGATGAGCTCCTGCACCAAAAGTTTGGCGGCGTAAGGCATCGTCATCTGTGTAACCTCCCTGGTGCTCTTGCACGTGTGGCAGTAACCCTTGTAACCGAACAAACCGCACTGCTGGCAAATGTCGATCTGCGTTCCGTCGGAACTGATCATGAGACGTTCAAGCAGCAGCTGAGAGGCTCCGTACGCGATCAAACAATCGCGCTCCATCTCACCCAGACGGAGGCCACCGTCTCTGGAACGACCTTCCGTCGGCTGGCGTGTGAGAATGGCCCTGGGGCCACGAGAACGAGAGTGCATCTTGTCCTGCACCATGTGCTTCAGGCGCTGGTAGTAGATGGGGCCGTTGAAAATGTAAGCTTCCAGAGGCTCACCGGTGATACCCGAAGTGAAGTAGTCTTTGCCTTCCCAAGAGAAACCGTGGTCAACCAAGGCAGCGCTCATCTGTTCCAAGGGGTGGGAGCGGAAGGCGTCGCCAAAGCCGTAGTCTTTTCGTCCATCCAGAACCGAGGCCTTGCCAGTCAAGCATTCAAGCAACTTGCCAACAGTCATACGAGAAGGGAAACCGTGAGGGTTCATGATGATGTCGGGTACTAGACCCGTATCCGAGAATGGCAGATCCTCCTGATCGACGATGATTCCAACAACACCCTTTTGTCCGTGGCGGGAGGAGAACTTATCGCCAAGTTCCGGTCTTCTTGTCTGCCTTGTCTGGACCTTGACCACCATCGTTTCCCTCTCCGTGTGGGATACCATAACCTTGTCAATGTATGCGGGATCCGCAATTCTGTAAGAGATGGAAGAGTCTCGGAACTCGCTTGGTCCTCGATCCATACCGATGCCGGTCGATCCGGTATCGAGAGGTGTTTCCTTCTTGATCATGACTTCGCCCGAGTTGACCTTGTAGCCTACGATTGCCAGACCATCATCGTCCAAAGCCTCGTGCTTGGTTGTCCTGCCATTCTCATCGTTGACTGGATCTCCGATGCGTTCGCGTCTGCCGTTGGGATACTTCTGCAATTCGGCCGTGTACTTGCGGAACACTTGGCAACGTCCGAAACCACGATCGCAAGATGCCTTGTTCAATACTAACGCGTCCTCAATATCATAACCCGAGTATGACATGACGATGACTGTTGCGTTTTGTCCGGCTGGAAGTTTGTCGTAATTGACAAGCTGGATTGTCTTGGAGATGACCATGGGTCTTTGCGGATAGACAAGCGTGTATAGTAAGGTATCGATACGATTGAATTGGTTGTATGCAATAGCGCCAATAGCTTGTTTACCCATGGCACATTGGTAGGTGTTTCGAGGAGATTGGTTGTGGTGAGGGAAGGGGATGAGTCCAGCAACTGCTCCGAGAACAGTGAAAGGTTCAATTTCCATGTGGGTGGTGAGAGGCGTGACGTCTTTCTCGTAAAGAGCAACTAGCGTGTCGTTCTCTTCGTTGACATCAAGATACTCGACAATGCCGTGGGTTAAGAAGTCATCGAATGTAGCCTTGCCTAGTTGCAAGAGTCTCAGGTGTTCCTCCTTAATCTTGGGCTTGCCGTTTTTGACAATGATGTAGGGTCGACAAATGCGTCCCTCATCAGTGGCGATGTGGACTGCGTTAAAGTGGTTGTTGATGTGAATGCTGACGAATGGAGAAATCCAGCCGCGCCTTCGCATCGTTCTGAACTTGCCGGCGAACCGCTTCGGGTATCTAGTCAATGCAAACGGTGTTCCGTTTATGTGAATGACGTATGAACTCTCGCGGTGCATTTCGCCGCCAGAGAAGTTCCGTATGGGCTCGACACCGGCGTCAAGAGTGAAGACCCATCGTTTCACCGGCGCTTCCTCAACGTTGGTAGTAATATGCGTCATGAGAGCCAAGTTCTTGACCAAACCGCAGGCTTCACCTTCGGGTGTATCCGAAGTACAAAGCATACCCCATTGCGACGGTTGAAGAGCACGAGGACCACTGACTTTGCGAGTCTTCTCAAACTGCGAGCTGATTCGGGTCATCATACCGAGAGCGCTGATGTAGCTGAGACGACTGAGAACGTGGGTAACACCAGCTCGATTCATGTTGAAACGCTTAACGGTCCAATTTCCTGTCTGAATAGCTCGATTGATGCCCTGGCCGATCATGTTGGCGTGATTGCTAATCATGTTGACGGCGTCAAGAGGAACAGCTCTGTTGTCTTTCTTCAAAACCTTGTCGATGCTGCTTTTGACGTTGCCACAGAATTGCTTGAACAAATCCTCAAAAAGTAGTGAGAGAAGCTGACCAGCTAACTCGAGTCGCTTGTTTCCGACGAAATCGCGGTCGTCAACAAGACTCGGGTCGGCTTGCGCCATTAGTACGCGCCGCGTCATGAAGGCCACATAGACAGCCTTGGGATAAAAATCCAAGCCCTCAATAGGGACGTGAGCGATGATGAGGTTTGCCAAGGCGTCTAGGGCTTCTTCGACGTGGTTTCGTCGGACTTGCGCAGCGAAGGGGACCCTACTTTTGCCCATCTTCACCCTGGCACCAATATACTCCAAAGCTTGCTGTTGCGTGTAGACGCCGACCTTGGTAGCTTCCTCGAATTGAATGAGGAATTCGTCTTGATATTTTCCGTTGTCACCGGCAACGAGTTGCATGATTTCGTAGTCCGACAGGCCCCCCAACGCCTTCAAGATGATTACAATCGGGATGCCTTCCACCAAAATATTGGCAGTGAGAAGAATCCGGTCCTTCTTGAGCGTCACGTACGTCTTGGACTTGCGCTCGTGAGTCGAACTGGTAACAGACGCCGTGATGACGCTGTTCTTCTCATCGGCTTCGACAATGACACGGTTCTTACTGAGCTGCTCCTGGATAAGAATGACCTTTTCCGTGCCATTGATGATGAAATAACCGCCAGGATCGAGAGGACACTCGTTCATGCGCGACATTTCTGCGTTGTTGGCTCCACCGAGTCTGCAGATGGAACTTTTCAACATGACAGGAAGGCGACCAAGCGGGACATTCTTCCGCACAATCTTGGATTTGTCGCGGATATAGGCGATGTCGACCATGATGGGTGCGGCGTAGGTCATGTCGCGCAGACGACATTCCATTGGTGTAACCTCATTTTGAGCTCTGATGTCGTTGAAGTCGACGCGACTGGGTCGCTCAACTCTGATATCAGTGAATCTGGGAGGGCGTTAGCCTAGTCCATGCAAAAAGAAAGGGCAAGGCATAGCGGCATACTCAAGCCAGAATGAACTGTTCACGTCGCTTCGAACAATGCGGTTGGCGCGGACAATTTCCTTGATTTCATTCTCAACAAAGAAGTTGTACGAGTCAATATGCTGCTTGACAAGGCCCTTCACCTTGAGGAAGGCGGGTAAGAGCTGGAATTTATCCTCCTTGGTCGAGATAGGATCTGTCAGCTTCTTTCCGTTATAAAAGGGCTCCAATAGAGCCTCGAAGCCGTCGTCCTGCATTTTGGTCACCGTGTTCCGCCTGCAATCATCATGTGTTGTTGGGTGCGGCGGCAGGGCGGAAGAAAGGTCTACTGCAGATTTTTGAGATGCAGGCGGTCGAGTCACATCGCGAGTTTGAGGCAGGTGCCGGGCAGCAGAAAAGTTTGGCCCCGCGGAGCCGGCTGCTGACAGCTGCCCCACCTTTGCGCTGACGGACATAAGGTGTGTAGTCAAACGTCTTAGTAAGCATGGTGGACTTGGGACGGCGACGACAAGGCCGGCGGGGGCACACCGAGATTTACCTCGGTGAGCCACGCCGAGCTGTGTCAGCTCGGCTCACAGCATGCTCTGTTATGCGTTGTCCACTTTGCCCTACCTTACCTTGCCTTACTTACTTATCTAGTGTGCCTTAAGGTTAAGACATAGGCCGCAGTTCATCCCAACCTCATCCTGCTGACGGGCCTAAGGTAGTTCTTTGACTAATTAGTTGACGGCGCTCATTCGATTTGGGCATCCACATGGTGAAAGGTAGTTTGCAAGGCCTACTTTTTTATCAAGAAAATGATTCTCGAGTGGCACGATGGCTTCGGCGCGACTTGTTGAATCAATGGCCGATCAGGTCGTGGTCATTCCATCTGTGGGTTCAGTCTCTCAGCTAAGGTAGACCAAGGTATACGTTGACGGGTGCCCAAACCCAGGGCTTTGGGCCCGCCTCGTACGTTGTGCAGCACACTCAATGTCAGGGACCATTAATACGCATAATAACCCGTGCTTGGGTTTCCAATGGCTGTCCCATGGTTAAAAGAAGTGGATAGAAAGAGAGCAACTCATTCAGCACTCTCATGTCAGTACCTACCATATGCCAGTGGGGAAATGCAACTGCGAGTCCAGATACAAATGGCTGAGAAGCAGTGCCGCGACTGCTTCCAAAGTCA